GGCTACGCCGTCGCCAGTAATATCCCAGACACGGATCATGCACTTGATCCTCAGCTCAGACACGAAATTATTTGCCTCCAATAGGGCTGTGTTGGATCATTGATAGTGTTCAAGTCTCTCGAACAAAATCCATTCAACCAAGCGGCTGGCTCGTACTGACCTCGAAAGCTGGTTTGATTGGCCCGCGGTTCGCCTAACTCCGTTCCACTGATTGATTCCCGTCAACGTCTTTGAACGGTTCGCATTTACGAAGGCATCTAATGAGATGAAAACGGAATGCTAGCATTGTACGTTCTCTGCTTCCTCAGTACGATGTGCGTCAGGTATTAATAGTGTTGGCAACAAAATCGTGAAGCCTTACGCTCATTCTCCTTGTCTACGAACCAGTTACACCAAGGTGCTATGAAACGCGATCTAGACTCCCCCACGTAAAGGGCGTAATGAGATAGCATAGTGTGCTTCGCCTTTCCTAGACTGTGACTCGATGCGTAAAGCACACACAAGTTCGAGACTTAGACATACTTGCAGTGTTTACGAAATTGATCTAATTGCTGTCGTGGATACAACCGTCTGAAACAATTTCTTCTCTAGTCACACTATCACGTGGTCTTTCATTTCTTCGCGAGCCCGCTGAATTGGAGGTTCGGTTCACATGTACATCACAAAATTTGCATTTCATTGACTCTGTGTGTTAGATTCGATCTCAATAATCGCCCATAGTTTTCTTTACCAGTTCATATATATTCTTCTGAGCGAATTACTTTTATTCTTCATATCCATTGTTTGGTGTTTCGCCAGTTTATCGATTATTTTCCACTTTCTGTCCAATTATTTCACTGTGTGACATCATACATGATTTCCGCTCACTGAATCTTGGGTCCAATCATGTTCCTAGTCTCGCACGAATGGTGCATTGTAGTTAGCTCGCCAAGAATTCATGATAACCCTGATCACGTACATCAGGCTTACAAAATTGAACATGTCGGAGACGAGGTCAAGCTAGGTATGGGACCCTTTCGTGATTCTGCCTCAGAAAGAAAAATTGTGATGATACTTAACTGATCAGTTCATCACTTTCAATGGGTTTATCCATGTAGCTTGGCGTGGTACTTTTTAACTTCTATTTTTGGCATTCTCGTCCATGATGAAGTATACTTTTATGAAATCTACTGCGGGTGGAGAGTCAGACTTCATCCCGGCCAGGTCAGAGCTTCACGAATTCGAACAGCGCCTAGTTTCAAACGATGTTTCGTTTTGTAGACAGACCATATCTGAAAAATTGTGTTGAGACTGGTTTAAAGCCCGCCGCTCTCTTTTCATACACATTACTGATTCGCCGACTTCACGTGAAAATTAATTTGTTCTCAGAAACGAGACTTGACTAATTGACGATTTAATCCAATTATTCGGAACTCCTGGCATATGCACACCTTTTGAGGAAATCTGATTGCAAATGTGCTTTGTACTTTATGCGGTTTCAATGAGATTCGAAGCTTTCCGGTCCACGGAAAATAGCAATATAAGGAATGGTACACGGTGTGAAGCTTGGATGATGCCTAAACAGGTACGTCCGATATTCCAACTCAGTTTTTTGTGAGCGGATGGTTGCTGAAGTTCTGTGAGCAAGATGATGCACCGTTCAGGAGTTGATTTTCCTTGCGTCTGGCGAGAAATTTGGATTGATTATATCCCCGTCTCTGTCCCCACGAATGACGGTAGCGCAGATTCCGAGTGGCCGCAGCTTCTTTGCTGTTGACAAAAGCACTGCCCAGCCATATGGATTTTCCGCTCGGAATGTCGGATGAGGGTGTCAACCGGATGCGTCAGCTTACAGCAATAAAACTTTCAAGCTCATCTTTGAAAGGAGATGTAGGGACAAAAAACAATGCTGTACTTGTACTTTTACCGCCGAATGTATTCTTTATGAGCTTGATTCATGTATAGCTTAATGCCTCGGTTGGTTTTTCTAGGTGGTGATGAAGGTGCTTTCGAGGAAGCAGTATAACTGTTACATCATTCAAGGGTGAAGTCATAGAGAAGAACAAGTGGCCTTCATAAAGGAAACTACTCACAAGGTTGCTGAAAACCCTTCGACAGCCCACGACCGGTTTCGTCCTTCTTGGGACTCATCAGGTAGGCGCAGTCCCCGAGTTTCCGTCAACCTTATGTTCTATTTGAACCCCAATTGGACTGTTTTCGAGAAATACACTCATCTACAAATCAATTTGGTTTTCACGAGACACTCAACTGAATCTCTCGTGGTCTCCAGTCGTGTTATCCTTTGGTCGAGGGATGGGTACTTTGCATGCGGCTAAGAACTTGAACCCTGAATAACTGGAAATGACGTGGTTTTTTTCATTACATCTACGTGAGCAGAGCTGATGTGTGCTATCAACCAGACCATCCGGTGTCCAACTAGTAAGGGGAAGATTTTCATCGTAGTTGGGATGCCGGAATTCACAAATGACTGACGGTCACAGACCGAGGCCACAGATTGGGAAAACGGGTCCGAGAGTATGTGTTTCCGAATTGAGCACCCTCGAACTGGTAACCTCGGATCGTTGGAATTGCTCTGTCAGCGTCTCTAAATGGAGAAAAGCCTTATGTGCATGAGGTTTCCACCCATACCTCTAAGATAGACTCAGAAAAGTATCTGATTATTAACTGCGACTGGAGATTCGCGGCTTTTCCGAGCCCACCGATTGGTTGACTTGGATGATACATGTCTGACGGTTCACACTCTTACATGTTGAAAATTACTACTAGATAGGCTGAGAGTGTGGCAAGTCATATTTGCCTTCCAAGATGACGTCACATTGTGTAATGAATCAAGCCACCTTACTTGCGCTGTTCACAGGAACTGAGGAGTCCACAGGTGAGTCACTCACAGACATTAAATGGTTCTTTCACAATTTCTGTTGCTGGGTTTAGATGGGGACGCCCACGCATCGATGTAAATTTGGTTCAGCGTATTAGTGCTACTATTTTTGGGCTTCGGAAAAGTTAAAGTAGGGGGTAGCCCATTTGGCTCGATTTGTTGAATCGATCTTACTAGCTCACCGATCTCATGACGTCAGAAACAAATTGCTCAGAACTGTGTACTCAAAAACCATCCCAGACACCAGGTGCGTAAAATTTTTGTTTGCGTGTGATGGCCGGCTCTGGAGCAGAAGTTGTTTAGACGTAATACACTACTCATACGTTTGCTTAGAAAGTTGCTTAGAAACATCATAAATGTGAGATCTAGCTGAGTTCCAGCAGAGTCACCCGCAAAACCGAATAGATTTGCAAATGCGTGTATTTCACTAATTTCGTGCAATTTGGTTTCAAGTAGAACACGAATTTGACGGAAACTCGGAGACTGCGCCTACCTGATGATCCCCACGAAGGGCACAACCGGTCGTGGGCTGTCGAAGTGTTTTCAGCAACCTTGTGAGTAGTTTCCTTTATGAAAATATACTGCGATATCTCGAATATCGTACAAACTGAATCATGAGGCGGCCTGTGTGCAGCACATTTAGTTGGAGGACATCAAAAACGCGAGATTCAATTTAGTCTCTTGTGAAAACCAAAGTGATTTGCAAATGAGTGTATTTCTCAAAAGCGGTCCATTTGGGGTTCAAGTAGATCATAAGGTTGACGGAAACTCGGGGACTGCGCCTACCTGAAGAGCCTAAAGAAGGACGAAAGCGATCACGAGCTGCCGAAACGTTTTCAGCAGCCTTGTGAGTAGTGTATTACGTCTACACATGTACCGCGATATCTCAGATATCTTAGCAATTGAGGCGGCCTAGTGCAGCACATCATAAAAAACGAGAGATTCAGCTGGGTTTTTGATGAGTCTCTCACAAAACCAAATGTGTTAGCAAATGAGTGTGCTTCATTGATTGTTCTTTGAATTCGTAATGCATACAAACGTGAATGCCGGAGAATTCAGTCACTTTCATCGTGTGAAAGCGGAAAGTTTATCTGTTTATGTCTCGAAGATTTGACAAATTTTGTTGCAACCAGATGCAGTTCCATGCTGTTGTGGCATTGCTGAACAGAATAAACTCGAAATTTAAATATGGCTGGTTTGGAATGTGGATTTGGGGCCCACCAGAACTTTTGAAATAGTTGGGGAAATCCGCGAACACACTCATACGAAAAAAAATTCCAACCTTTTACCGGCCGGAAACATGTTGGCAACTAGATTCGTTATGAGGACAGCTGCGGTAAATCGAACTCTTCCACGGTGCTGGCAAAGCTAGTCCCAGGTCATATTTCAGACGCTACCAGTTGTACCGCACCAGTTGTTTGACAGTTATCCCAAGAAACGCCAAACTTCGTGGTTTACGACCTATTAATCCTGCCCTTCAGTATGATGGACGATATTTTTGTTACAACACTAACTGTCATCTTTCAGGGTGGTCGGATCTAGAAGCACATTGCATAACGGAACGCCGCGCACACTGCTTGACATTTCACGAAAATGATGATCAGCATTTAAGAGTGAAAACCGGCCGGTTATTTATGAGATACTTTGTCCACAAGGCCTGATTTTGACTTGGCTGAATCAGTTTTTTCGATTTCCTGACTATTTGGCACAAAACACAGCCAGAGGTATACCAGTGGAATGATGTTATTCTACGAAAACAAACATATTTATTTGTGTTATTATTACTTGCCCTGGTGTGTACGCACATGCCAGTGGTGTTCACAGTGTTTGTAAGGATTTAGCTGTGCAAAAGAACACTTGACTAGACGTAATATACTACTCGTAAGGTTGGTAAGACCTCCTCAACAGCGCACAACTGGTTTCGCCCGACCTTGGGGCACATCAGGCAGATACAGTTCCCGAGTTTCCATCAACCTTATGTTCTACTTGCATGAAATGCGCTCATCCGCGTAAAAGAGAATTTCAGCTGGTTTCCAGGTGAGTCGCGCCTCAAAAACAAACTGGTATGCAGGTGAGTTTGTAAGCCGAGACTTGACTATCTCAGCACAGAGGAGAATGAAGCTCAGAGGACCGGAATTTATATAGCCTTTTGTGATGTTGAGACACGTGGCTTCGCCGTCAAATTGTCTCCACATTTGCACTTCTGCGGCAAAACCGATAAAATATGGGTTGGACAAAGTTCCTTGAATCATAGTCTTAGTCTTAGTACCAAACTCCCTGCTCTTAGCAATGTTGTGGAATGTAGGTAGTTTGGGTGCGCTGTTTGGTTGTTGGTCTGTTCGCCGAGCTTTACAGTTAGATTGCAAACGTTTCATCACCAACCGAGGTGACATCGTCAGTGCAGGGTTGAGTGGCGCTGACGAGTGGTGCACTGACGATGTCAACTCGATTGGTGATGAAACGCATGCAATCCAACTGCCAAGCTCGGCGAACAGACCAACAACCAATCCCCGCCCTGTTTTGTGCTGTTATGCAATCTTGTAAGTAAGATCTGAGTAGTGCGAAAGCAACTGAAAAGGTTCACTTTCGAAAAATATCATATCGCGATTTTCACAACCGCGGTTTCACCTGGTGAATTCATCCTCCGAAATGAGCCATCGATTTTTGGACTGTAACCATGTTAGTTGTACACACACGCCATCCATCAACATAATGAATGGAAGTTACTCATTGATGGCCATTCAACAATGTGGGTGATTCGAAATCCGTTCGCCTAATAGACCCTAAATCCTGAGCTTTGGGCCATATTTCGTAAGCTTCAATCGACTTTTTCTATTTAAGTTGCTGTATGTGCTCAAGTTAACTAGATTTTACCACGTGGAGTCATTTCGTGAACTACATCAGCTAGGTTCACAATGAAATGGAGTCGAATTATCAGATTACATTCATCTAAAAATAAATATAGCTTATCCGTCTGAAGTGCTGCTGAAAACGCGCGTTTATGTCATTGTTCAATTCGGGATCTGTGCCTACCTAATGAGCACTTAGGAGGACGAGAAGTGTCCTTTCTTACCGAAAACACGTACACGCACTGGGACCTACATATAGGGAAATCGAACACAGTCAGCACACACAGACTCGCGCGCGCGCAGGGAGCAAGTAGTCAGCCAAGCAATCCAAATCCACGGACAATTATGGAACACGTGTAGCAGCCAAACTGCAGAGAAAACACGTTCCCACCGTCCGAACTTTCACCAAGGAACTCTCACATATGACAAGTTCCCTTTTGACTTGCCTTTATTTTATAGATGCTGCAACTCGCTTCTGTAAACTACTGTCAAACACAGTAAAGACTGTTATCAGTGCACGTACCATCTGATTTGAGTTATGGCTGTCATCAGCTGTGCACCAATAAAGTCTTCTCAGCAACCTTATGAACAGTGTGTTCTATCAGCAGTGCACGTCCATCTGATTTGAGTTATGGCTGTCATCAGCTGTGCACCAATAAAGTCTTCTCAGCAACCTTATGAACAGTGTGTTCTATCAGGAGTCGAATTCTTTTCCAAAGTTGAAAACCCAAGAAATCTGCTCAAACAGATGAGTCGGTGGATATTGAATGCACGTGTTCTAGTAAATTGGCGCCCAAGGAGACAAATTGGAGTACAATATGTTGGTGAGACAATGCAAAGGCAGACAGAAGTTTAATTAGGACACTGGAGCGTCATGAATTATAAAGCGATGGACATGACAGATTTTTTTGTTTCCGAGGCGAGGAGTCCTTGCACATACGGTGGCACATAGGTCGTGGAGGTTATGATGAGGCTGCAGTGGTGCGAACGAGTCTTCAAAGGGAGAGTAGTTGAATGGGATTGGCTAATTAGCCTGTTCCGATAGATAGAAAACGACACCTGTAAAATGCATTCTGTGAAGGAGCTCAACGGATGAGGAAATCGTTAACAATCAAACGAGGGCACACACACGCCGCAACCGGATGACTCACTTAGCAGCTGGAGATGGAAGTAAAGTGCGCCAAACCAACTCATCCGACAAACCAGGTCTACAGACCATCAGCGTGCCATCTATGACTGTTGCATGGCAGGCCGTCCCACCGATTCGTTGCTGGCGTTTTCGATTGGTCTCAACAATCAACTGTTATTCCCAACCGATCAATCACTCCTCTAATTTTTCCATAAGCTAAACTTCGATCCCCACAATGTTACCTTAAATATGCGGATCATTTCACCAACAAGACTGCTGGCTTTGTATTTGACGGGCGTCGTGATACTTGGGAATTCTTAATTTAGACTTGGTGCTGTCAGTAGAGCCAATCTATGTTGAGAAGCCGTGCGAATCTCACGAAACTTCGGAATGTAGATTCGTACCCACAATCTACCGATCAGTCTTCGAAGACGTTCGATCATGAATATTTGTGTAGTTAGCTGTATGTTTGAACTGGCTAGCACCGTGACGTTTAGTTCTGTGGTGCATCTGACCCGCGCCATAGACAGACTGGGCAGAAAAACAGGTTGTGAGTTGTGACCAGATTTGCAGATAAGTGGGTGGGCTTGAATGCGGTTGCTACCGAAGGCGAAAATCCTAAACCCACCCTTGTCACTGCGTTTCAGATCCCTTCACATCGTGAGCATTCAGAAAGTGCACACGCAATGCCGTGTTCTCATACCTGATTTGGAGCACGGTAGGCATACTTTTCAATTTTGAAACAGATTGCTGAAAAAAATGGTTCCAAGAACACTTTCTTCCCAAGGTCTTTTAATGCTCAGTAACCGTTTCAAGAGCTTGGCGAGCTTCGAGGAGGGAGCCGAGTGGGGGTGACATAAGCTATCCCATGGCCTCAAGTCACAGTGCTCCCAGCACTAGAATTAGGTGTAAGGGAGCTATGATAAGTTGGAATTATTGGCTGAGAGTGGTAATTTTTAATAAATTACGCAAACAAAGAGAATCGGCAACTTCTTTTCAGCTCCAGAATAGTTTATACTTCTTTCGAGGTCATAATGAGGGTTAGGTGGCCAATCTCATGCCGTCTAGGTGTGATTTCTTTTTTTGACTAGCATATAATACAGCAGGTTATTTTAAATCAGGTGACCAGATCCGAGATGGGTGCGAAACCAGAGAATAAATGGAAAATTAGCCAAAATTCGCGTTTTTTTGGTTCTTTTTGGCCAAAGTACCAGTTGTCACAGACTAAAATCAGACGAATAATCAAGACACCGAGTGATTTTTTTCATTTACACAACGTACTACTGACGCACCACCGTCTCAGTAGGAACGTTGTCAAGACTCAGTTTGGCATTCAAGTAAGAAAGAACAGTGATAGACATTGGGGAGAATATGATTGCCCGCTGAGAATAAAATAGGACAGTACGTACAGCGGGCACATCTACGTGCCTGTCCAAATCCTTTTCCGAATATTTAACAATTATTTATCTAAGGTGCAGGTTTGAGCTGATAAATCAGGAACAAAGGCATTCATTTTTATTTATTATATTTTTATTATTTATTTATTTTGGTGAATTCTCCTCATTATCAAGATACATAGTTTGTAAAAATATAAAGCGAGCAAATATGAGGATCTGCATTGATATTGGAATCATGTGTAAGAAAAAATATCGGTTGAAATGGGTGCACATTTTCATAAAGGAAACTACTCACAAGGTTGCTGAATACTCTTCGACAGCCCACCACCGGTTTCGCCCTTCTTTGGACTCATCAGGTAGGCGCAGTCGCCGAGTTTTCACCGTCAACCTTATTTTCTAATTGAGCATCGGCAGTTGGACAATTTGCAATACGTGTGGAATCATTACCCGTCTGAGGCGCAAGACGAATTCCGTGCTTGAACCTCCGAAATGCTCCCTGTGTTGTACTGGTGAGAGAAAGAAAGCCTTCGCTGTGGAGTCATTTATTAGAAAATGCCAACTGACCAGTTGGAGAGTATTGGACAGAAAAACAAACCTCTCATTTGCATCTTACTTACAAAAACTGAACATCCATCCTCTCTTGAACGCGTCTTCCTGAACTTTCCAGGATATTCATTGACTGTTGCTCAAATCCAAGCAAATGCTACAAAGCGACTCCACAAATTCCGCAACAGATCTCCCTTTTCAAGAGACGCAAAGCGGCTCTACAAGAAGAAAACTTACTACTCGCACGCCTTCTCATCATTAGTATCACCGTTACACTTGTAGCGTCATAAATTATGGTTGCTCGTAGCATGTTACAGACGCGATTGTACTAAAATGGTAAAGAATTCAGGAATATCCAATGGAATTTTGATCTCGTGGGGGTTAGTTTTTGAGTTTGTCTGGCCGTTAGTTCGAGAATATCGTAAACGGGGGATTCAGTTGGATCACCCGTGAAAATCAAATTAGTAAGTAAATAAATGTAATTCAATACCTCAATCCGCTTATGTTATACCTGTTTATCACTTAATGACCGTGCAGATAATATCTGCGGCAATCCTGTTTCCAACATTTTATTCCACCATCTTATCCATTCGGTCAGTAAGAATGAAATCAACGAAAGATCTGGCGCAGAAGTTGGAATTTTATGTGTTGTATAACTCAAACGGGAATCGAATAGTGGAACGGAAGCGAAGATGACGGATATATAAGTGCAACATGGGAATGGTGTAGCTAAATGACGCAATATGAACACGTAGAGCGGTTGAGCGATGCTCTAGCTGCAACCGCCTACTCCCACACGATGGTTATTCATCAGGAAGTCACCATTTCCATTAGATTGTCACTTAGTTTATGACCAGTTGGTGGTCCGATAATGGATCACGTGACAATGGTGTAAATACCAGACAACAGCTGTCCATTCCAATAAAAGAAACGGTGGACTGTGAAAAGGGTGGTGTGAGATACTGGATTAAAAATGGCCTATTTGGATCGTGGAGATTTGTGTAAACATTAGATGCAACGGTCGGTCTTCTGTGGAATAGCCGGTGGGTGTCGTAGTAATTGTAGCATTTTGCTCCTCTGCTAGTCGCCCCCACATTGAGGCCAGTCCTCACTTGTCTAGTTTCATTTTTCATTGCAGAGGATCGCCCGCTTTAGGACACGGCCCACCAAGTTACTGGGCAGATGCTTTCCTCCTAGCGGAACGGCCAAATAATCAATAATACAATTTAATAATATTTCTTCGGTATAGTGGTGGCTAATTCATGGGTATAGCCACTGTTCACCTGTACTCATGACATCAGGTTATCCACTACGCATCGGTCTTATAAAGCTGTATTTTCGGAGGGCAGACTGAAGTACCCTGTTACCTGTATTCAAGGTCTTTCAACTCTTTTTTTTCGTGTACATGAACTATATGACAGTTCAACTCCAACCCTTTCGTCGGTATATCATTCGTTAGGACCGCTGAGGGTGGCTTACCCACCGCACAGTGCCTATCTCATGAAACTGAAAAAGAAATCTTTAGGAAACGATGTAATTCACACATTCATAACATGGCTTTTTTTAGAACTAATCCAGTGCGAAATCTGTGAGTACAAATGGGAAAACCTTGCCGAATCTGGTTTAGTAAGCTTAAGGGGAGAGAGTGTGTGACATGGAATGATGGCAAAGGGCGAAGCAAACCATTGGGCATGAAAATTACTCTGCTGTTCCTCGGGACCGTATATCACAATTGTACTGCTCGAAATTTGCGAGAGACTTACCTAAAACCCAGCTAAATCCCTCGTTTGTGATGTTTCTAGGCAAATGAATGTGCTGCACCATGTCGCTCCACGTTCCACTTGCCACGAAATTCGAGCTATCACGAAACATATATTTTCCTAATGCACTACTCATAAGGTTGCTGAAAATAATTCGTCAGCCCACGACCGGTTTCGCCCTTTTTGGGGCCCGTCAGAGAGGCGCGGTCCCCGAGTTTCCGTCAACTATATGTCTTAATTGGAACCAAATTGCATGAAATTAGCGAAATACACTCATTCGCAATCAAATTACGTTTTGCGAGAGACTCACCTGGAACCCAGCTGAATCTCTCGTTTGTGATGTCTCCAGGCAACTGAATGTGCTGCATTAGGTCGCCTCATGTTTCAGTCGCTACGGTATCCAATATATCGCGATACATGTCTATTCGTACTGCACTACTCATAAGGTTGCTGAAAATTCTTCGACAGCCCACGACTGCGCGAAATTCGAAAGTGGATTGTCAATGAGTGAGCTGGAGCAGCTGTGGTCGAAGGCCTTTGTACCCCGGCTGTGGGCCCACACACGGCCATGCGTACGCAAATCTTATATGAGGCTAGTTGTCAGTAACATTGAACCCTTCTGTTTCAGGAAAACCAAATTGGTGTTTAAGCAAGTGTTTTTTTCGAATTTCTCACCTTTGTTCCAAAGCTGCTCTGTCTCAAAACGAAATCAATTGTCTTCAGTTAGATGAGGCAGTGTGCTCGGATCTTCGCATTATGCTGCAGTAAGGAGGTAGTTTAGTAGAGGGTATGGATTTGTGTGTATATATATAGGGACCTAAGAAATCTGTCATTCTATTCAGCTTGGCTTGGGGGAGCTTAAATGCTCTTTGTTGTCAGACGCCTGATGCGTCTAACTGAGAATTACAGTTACCTGAGAACGTTCAGTAAAATGGCATTTGCGGTCCTTTGGAATGCAAGGTGAGGTGTACTCAAATCGATGAAAATACTAATCAGTTAGGGCTTTGTTTTCTCTTTTGAGAGTCAGAAGATGATCGCTCTAACCAAACTCAAAAAGAGTTTCGTCTGAACTCAAGTATACTGAGTTTGAAGAAAACAATGAGGAAGCTTATTGCTCTGGGCTGCTTGACTTTCAGTTCGGTTGGCCAAGACAGGTAGGATGGTTCTAAATTTGTTCACCTTTTGGACGTAACGCTAATGAAACATTATGAGCCAGCAAATGCTGACTCCTTACCCTTGCAAAAGTTTTCGTTTACGAGGTTACTTTGAGAATTCACTGATACACACAGGAATAGCCACTTGTTAGGTGTGCATACACACCAGGTAAGCGAAACATAGCTGGCACAAACTTCCAGAGGAAAACAATATAGAATGAATGTTTATTCCACAAGGAAGCCTGTTCGCTTGAATACAGATAACTATTAATCAACTATTGAGCGTAGACCATTGCATGAATTATTCCAACCAATTCCTATATAACATTCGAAAACTACTTTTGAGTAGTGTGAGCCCTGCTAACTGAAGTATAAGGTGGTTTTCGTGCGGCATATTTGAATGAGTCAGGTCCGCAATAAAGCCACTCCATTACGCGACTCAAGACGATTTGTTCTTTGGAAATCAACTGTCAGGTTGCACTTACTTTTTCCCGGTCAAACTCTCCCCCTGTCTGCTGCTGTTTACTGCATATACCTCGTAGACTCGATGTGCATTTGTGATCCCTTATGAACTTTGAACCCTTGACTTGTCGACCAGCATTTACGCGCGCTTTTTGATCATTTTGCGTTACCACGTGTTGTGCCCAGGCGTGTATCTCAAACTAAGATCGATTTGCCATCCTCTTCGAGCTTTTTTTGAACTTGCACTAATTCGTGCACCAGTTTAGACGGTAACCCCGATAATTTGAGGTTGGTAACCGCTTTTATTACGTATTTTATACATGTAGTACCGCATCCTTTGATAAATCTCAAGAATTCACAACTTCTTTCTTATGATTTTGCGCGTCACTCAAGTGGGCTTTCCTGACTATGTCAAAGTATTCTACACAGGTACTGGATTGTGGAAGGCTCTGTTAGTAGAAGTTACCTTCCTCCGAAGGCTTCTTTCTTGGAAAACGGAGCTTGCCGTGCTAGTAAAAACAATATTTTCAAATGTTCCAAATATGTATGCATTCAAGTTTTCGCTGGTTTAACTTGAAAAGACTTCTACCTACCCGACATATGATCAAGGAGCGATAAACAGTTGTGCTTTACTCTTCTCTCAATGTCGTGGCATAAAGCCGGCGTCCACGTGGACTGAAATTCCCCAGAAAGACCTGTAGTCGATTTACAATTAAGCTGCATTATTAAAAACGGTGAAAACATCACTCTATCTCATCTTATTTCATGACCTCTTACACTGTTATATCTGCTGATTCGCCGACCTGTGGTATCTGCTGCTGACCCGCTCCAGGGCCTAGTGCCGGAGAAAAAAGGCTCACAGAAGAGAACACAACAGCTACGTTCCGAACGAGCGAGTGCGAGAGCAAAAGTTACAATGGGCCCACGCTATTTAAAGTGGACTTTATAACATTGATCCAGGCTGTCTGATAGGCGTTAGTGAACACCCATCAAAATCGATCGCGCCTCTATAAAATCCCCGAACGCTGATCACATTCGGTCGTGCTTCTGTGGCGTGCATAAACACTCATCAGCTTTGTTGAATTGATTGAATGGTTGACTGGCCTGGATGCTTGTCTGCTTTCCTGTTGAGATTTTCGTGGAGCAGTAGGTTCCGGGCGTTCTGAGGTTACTTTCAGGAATCTGACCTTCCTGACTGTGGCAGACAAGAATGTGCCAAGCAAATTCATGCCGCCACAATGTGTTTCTCATGGCCATCTTCAAACCGATCCGTTGATCACAACAACTAATTTGCAGCATCACTACATACCAATCACGGAATATTAGTGATATTTCGATTGTGAATATTAGTAATTCATTGCAATGCCCCACTCCACCGCGTGATTTTACTGTATTGATATAACTTATGTTTTTGTTACCAGTATTAAGGGGCGTTTCTTCGATGTCTCCTTAACAAGCGGAATCCCGTAAACCTCCACTTCGCCACGGTTGAAACAAAACCGAAAATTTTTATCGCCTGCATATCATGTAATTGATTTTGTATTTTATTAAGTCTTAAGTTCACCTACCGCCCCCCGGAGACGACTGGCTGCAGGGTGAAGTCTTATAGTGGTGAATCAAGATATCAACTAGTCCAGAAGTTGAGCTCATCCTCGCCTGGGTGCTTGGCCACCTTAATTTCCAAAGCGACAAAGTAATGACTAAAACGATACTGGTGCTGCATGCTGAATCCCTTTCGCCCATGAATGATTATCTCCACACACACCTGAAATTTGGTGTTCACTTACGAAATAAGTTCGATGGAAATCCGGCTCAAGAAGTGAAGTAGTCTGCATCCGGTGCTGTACAATTTTATCAGCCTTAGAAGCAATCAAGTATTACAAAAAAGAATGAAGCCACTCTCAAATCAACCCACCTGTAGTTCTGACCCAGAGTATCCTGAATATACGATAGTAATAACGGATGCTTCAGTCTATTTGTTTGGCTGCTTTGTACCGTTAGCTGGAATGATAAACCTCGTTCACAGTTTGACTAGAGGTTTGAATCTAGGACCACCCCAAGCTTCAGCCGGAGCACCCTATTTTCCGTCATTTCCACCAATCAATGTCTCCTTGAAAATACGGGTGGAACTTAGAGCGGAATGGTGTTCAGTAGCTTAGTCGTTACACCTACCTTCACATTAATACGTATGGCCCTATATGTTTGGTACAAAACCATGTTTAATAAATTTGACCATGGGCAGACTTTCTTCTGTTCTTCGTTCCTTGTTCTCCTGTGTTACCAACTGCTGTTGGGCCACTTTAGTATGCTTACAGACTCATGAAGTGACCAACCACACTTGGGGCTTGCTTAAAATCGTTATGAAATTTCAGAATCCTAGAAGCTTGCACACACACACACAATATCTCCGCGATGTCGGGTGATCAGGACATGAATAATCTTTGGTCGTCTCCATGACATTTGTCGGAACGACATCTTCATTTCGCCCCTTTAGACGACCATCATGAATGTACAGTCTAAAACATGATTCCAAAATTTATAAGGTTGTCATGTGTCTGACCATTGCTACCAGAGTTTCTTTTCACAGCCCAGCAGCAGTTGTAACACCTATCTAGGTTGACTGTGTATCACACATAACAGATGACATGTTAGATATGTTTTTGTCTTGTGCGACACCTTCGACAACAAAAGACCCGGAACAGAATTCATGCAACATATCGTGTTCCTTTTTCGACAGACGGGCTAACACGCATGGCATTTGCTCCTTGGTATGCGACAAATGTATAACCACACAGGCTGATTTTGTCACGAACATGAGGCACATAACCAAGCAATGTAGCCATTTTTGTCCGTAATAGGTGTGAACAATCGGTCAGCGAGATACACTTATTTGCAAACTAATTTGCTTCTGCTAGAGACTCACCTGGAACCCAGCAGAATCTGTGATGTTTCCAGGCAACTGAATGTGCTGCACCAGGCCGCCTCATGTTTCAGTCAGTACGATATTCGAGATATCGCGATACATGTATATCTTTGTAATGTACTACTCATAAGGTTGCTGAAAATCCGCCAACAGCCCACGGCCAGTTTCGTCCTCTTTGGGGCTCATCAGGTAGGCGCAGTACCCGGATTTCCGTCAACCTTATGTTCTAACTGAAATCAAATTGCACGAAATTAGCGAATATACACTCATTTGCAGACTAATTTGGTTTTTCGAGAGACCTACCTGGAACCCAGCTGAAACTCTCGTTTGTGATGTTTCTAGGCAACTGAGTTTGCTGCACAAGGTCGCTCCACGTTCCACTTGCCACGAGATATCGCAATACATGTATATTCGTAATGCACTACTCATAAGGTTGCTGAAAACTTGTCGACGAACTTTCAGCAGACTTATGAGTAGTGCATTATGAACAATAGGTTATTTGTGAAGTTGTCTAGCGTGCAATGACTGAGGAGAGTGAGTGGAGCATGTGGCCATTGCACCAAAGACTTGTCTTTGAACTACGTCACTCAACTCTTAGATGAAATTAGGAATACCTTGGAAATTCTTGAAGAAACAAATCCTTGTGTAACTTGTTACCAAACGAAGAGCTATAACACAACTGCTGCCATTTGAAAGAGACACCACCAAAAGTCTTGGTTCCTCTTCGGACAGATCTCCCACTGGTCTGAAGTGAGTGCTCATCAAACGGGGGATAACTGAACTTTAGCTTCGGTTTTATTAGACTCAATCAGAAATGCACCTAGATTTTCACGTCTGAACACGTGAGCATAAAGTCTAAATGTCTTGAAAGGTGAATCTATTCACACTTCAGCAATGAGATGGGTTTTCTAGACGCCTCTAACAGGAGCCGAGTGGCTACTCTGGTTGTGTCAGTTGACTGATTCACCTGTCAGGACTGCCGAGTCAGGTAACAACAGGGACAAATGAAGCATTCTATGAAATTTACAATCAGTTTCAGGTGGCAAATAGATTCGTAACAGTATCCAGCTTGAGCTGGTGGAGTAGTGATAGCACCTCACTGTTCGCAGTTCAAACCTCGGTGCGATCAAGTACGTGCACTGCTGATGAGCTCTAATAAGAGCGAAACTCGACTTGAATGCAGTCGCCATTGTGAAGTGGGACTCACAAGACACTGAGAGAGTTGTCCAGAAGACATTGATGTCACCTTCAGTTCTACAAATCCCTCAACCACACACAATAATTATTGGGACAGCTCAAATGCTTCTTTGTCCTTTCAGCATTTTACAAGTCGCGTTAGATAAGAAACAAAAACACATGGTTCCTTGTTTTGCTATTAGCAAAGCTCGTCGGTGCCCGCCTTCTAGGTGAATCAAATGGCCGGCAGCAAGCACGGCAGTGGTACACTCATGGACGATAGTCTGGTATCGGGGAAAACCCAGCTCTAATTGGTTAATTTACTTCGAAACTCAAGTAATTATATGCAGAAAGATTAGAGACACATCAAATAGCGGTTTCATCCTTGCTCGGACACCACAACAGTGCGCATCAAACCTCTTGGTTATTAGTAGAAGAACGCAGCATTAGATCATGAGCAACTGGTCCAAAGTATGAACGACTAACCTTCATTTAAACACGATGGAGCACCCCTACTTCAACGGAGGAGCCACACAACTTGCCGGATTATTTCTCATCCGAGTCGGTTCATCCCTGTTATGCGAAATTTTAGACAACAAACATTTATGTCATGCCAACCTCAGGATTGAAGGCTGAAAAATGTGTGTTTTAGTCACCAAACTGATAGGCCAATCGCGGCCGAGCGATTTGTGCCTCAATCAATAGCCGGAAGGTCGACGTTTTGAGTCTGCGTGAAGGTTGATGGGATGCACAAGTATGATTGACCCAAAAAAGTGAAATACTTTCCCGAGTTTCTAAGATTTCCACAAGAAACCACAAGAAACCGAGCTCACCCAGGCATGATCTCACACCCCTCGGAAGCCTTGAATATTTTGGTCACAGAAGAGAAGGCATCACACTTATTGAGTCCCACGGTAGATCAAATACAACAAAGTTCTCTACGAGATGATCTCTTTCAGTCCGGACGATTTAGTCGTTACTGAATCCAGCGAAAAAGATGGCTACTTTTTGGGACGTAGTCCCCATTCGGAAGATACACATATGTTCAACGTAATTTATGCAGTCTTGTTCCCTACTTCTCACGTTCGAAGAATCTTCCTTTCAACAGTATCCGCTGTCCCTTAATTCAGAAACTATCAGGAACAAATTAAGTTGCACAGATCTTTGTTTATGGGCTATTAGCAATGAAAAGTTGTTCCGAGTATTTTGATCCTGCTAGAGTAAGCAAGTTTTGTGAGTTTAAATATTCCACTTGCCTCTCAGCTCACTCTTTAAGATTGACCTTACCGTGATGTGACGGTTTGCGCACCTCAGCGATCCATTGAGCTACACTGGAGAGTGTCCCGCGACACTCACAGAGTCTCTCACACCAGGTTGGTCAATGGTTAGAGGCGTGACGAACACGGTCTCCTGGCCCTCCAGGTTGGGGGTTGGAACATGTGGCGAATTGTTCCGTCGAAATGGTGATGTATTTGCATTTCCTGCCAAGCACCGCTGCCTTGCGGTTAGGCTTTTGAGTCAAAGGCTTTGGTTGAGGACCCTAATCGTCCTCCTGTCTAGGTGTGGGCGCCCTGGCAGTATCC